CCCCAAAACCCCAAAACCCCATGTGTATTAGTTATTTACTATGAAATAGTCTTAATTAACCTTAAATAATAAAAAGCCTAAGAATATAATTTGTTTTGAAAATTAATCAATTCATCTTTTACTTTGTACTTCTGTTTTTAATGTATTCATGTATAATTGAACAAAGAATTATGATTAATAGTCCGTGTCTATAAAATTATGATAGATTACACCAAAAGCACCTCATATGATCTAATTCAATTTATAGCTCTAAGCTCATAATCTAATCAATGTAAATAGAATCCTTGTTAATTAAATTATCTCTCTTAGACAATTTCATTGATGGATAAGTGGAAAATCTCCTAAGGAATTTAAGGATTTAAAATTCATTAGCATGATTTAAATTATCGGTATAGTGATGGATTACCTTTTCCCCTTGTTGGTTGAAGTAAAATATCAAAAGATGCTTTCCTATATTTGGTTTTCGTTCATTCAAATCAAAATACTTTTCATAAATGGGAGTTTAGTTTCTATCAAAGTAATAAAAGACATAGTCATCACTCATCTTTAATGCAACGTTTTAGAAAATCAAAAAGAATCTATCGAACTATAGCTAACTTTTGTCAATTTACAATAAAACCTTTTTAACTCCTTTGTATCCTCTCATTACGTTCCCTTCATTATGTACTTATAACTCTTATATATAATCAAAGTGAGTAAATCATTTCAAATCTACAATATCTTCAGTTTCAATGAAAGGCAAATTGAGACATTTAAGCGGGTAAATCTTTGTTAAGTTTCTCAATATAATGATGTTATAATATTCTCGCATTTGGCATTATCTGTGATAATCGAAAGCCTCTAATGAAAGATTGAATTTGTGGGTAAAATTTAACACGCCAAAGTACAGTCTTGGATCCTTTTACTTTATTTTTAGACTTATTTCATGAAAATTTTCTAGTTCTCTTTATAAGTCCCCTGAATATATAATAATACTTTCACCTTATGTTAGCTAATGAGTTTTGAACTATAATAATTCTTCTGTGGAGTTAAAATAAATTGGAGCCATTATGATCTTTTATTGCACCCAGTTCAAGAGTTATTCCTATTTTAAACCGCCATTGTAAGGGAAGAATTGCTAACTCTTAAACAAAAGGATTGAAGGAAACTTTGTGATGCCATATTGATACCTTAAATTTTCAATCTAATTTTTTTCTATCAATATCATCGTAAAATGGAGCTAGTACATCTAATAATTTGAAGACTTTAATTGAGTAGCTACTTATCTCAGATTTTCAAGTGAAATGGTGCCCAAATAACTTTAGTTGTGGAAAATAGCCATTGTCATAATGTTTATGTTAATATTGCATGAGTGTTAATCGAATTTATTCACGAGTCCATTCAATGTAGTGATGCATGCCAACTTAACTACCTGCACTAAGCAAATAAAAATGAGAATAAACTGAGTCAGCATATTAATCTTTATATAATTCTGATTTTTAACAATTTAATAATCTTCCGATAATAGAGGTTAATGGGGTTTTGGGGTTTTGGGGTTTTGGGG